GACCCTCGTGTGTTTACATCGGAAACGGCTCCTTGGTGGTCTTTGGGGACTTTGCGATCTGGGCACAACAGAGTAAGTTTCTGACCATAATATCCAGTAAATCCCTCTTTAAAGTGGGATTTTTTTGTTTTGTTTTGTGGATCATGATCACTAGACGAGTGTTTTTACTATGGTTCCTGCCCATAGCTTTTCCTTCCACAGAAACGAACAACGAACAGGACATCGACCACCTTGTCCGTCACTGGCCAGTCTCCTCTTGGAGATATTTTAGGTGCCTCTTAGCGTTAGCAGGCCGGTGATCCTGGCTATCACTGTAGTGCTGCCCTAAGCTGTGTGAGGCGGACCTGGAACAGAGGTTTGGGACTCTGCACTCACTTTGGCCCTGTGTACCTTGCTGGAGTTAGCAATGTGATGTCTGTCTCATTCACATACAAGCACTCACAGATTCAACCAAACAAATACTCCCACCTGCCAACAGTGGTGGGCAAAACCACCTTCCAGCAGCCTAAAGTGTTCTGGTTTCACTGCAGTCCCACAGCTAGTATGGAAACACAGAGGCTGATCAAACCTTTTCTGGAGACTCCTTTTTGGATCTCCTCCTCAAATCGGAGCCCCTCAACCTTACCATGATTCAGAGGTCTGCCAAATGCTGTTTGGTCCTCACCATGTGAGCCCTCCTCAGGCAGCCAGCTGGAGTGTCTCTGCTGGTCATACGGGGAGACTCCCACATGACAGGGAATATTCTGTTCCTGCATGCTCAGCAGGAGCTCATCATCCCAGCAGCTGAATTCCCCTGCTCTGCCTGTGGGGGAGGCAACCAGCCACGAGTGACTGTGCCAGGCCCCAGGGCTTCCCTGCCAATGCACCAAATGAAGCAGGAAATAGTGAGGACCCCAGCACAGATAACTCTAACATGAAAATAGGAGCAAAAGAGGTTTTTAATGATACCCGCGGCTCAGCGAGTGACTCCTGTCGGTTTCCAGAGCTGCCGGCATCATTAAAAGCTGCTTTTGCTCCTATCTTCATGTTAAAGAGTTGTCTGTGCCGGGGTCCTCACTATTTCCTGCTTCACTAACACACTGAAAAATAGGTGGTAACTTCCCAAAAGACTTTCTCCTCCATCCCACCAAAACTACCATCCCAGTATTTCCTAGACTCCTCCTCCTTTCCTTCCCCTTATTTCGGGGATGCTGAGCCTTTTGTTCCTGTCAAAGGCAGTGTTTCGTCATTTAGTCACTGTTCCTTCCCACTCAGTGCTCCAAGCTGGGTGGTTTCTCCCAGATGCTGAGCTGCATCACTTCCATCACTGGACAAAATGCCCTAGTGACCTCCTGTCTTATAGAAAACACTGCACAGACCCCATGTAACTTTCCGGCTACAACTGAATCCTCTTCTCCCTTTTCAGCAAGACTTCCAGGAAAACATCCATTCTCATCCCCCTCCACATCTACACCTCTCATTTTCTTTTGAACTCTTTCCACTCTGGCTCCTGCCCTCACTCAGCTAAAACTGCATGCCCTTGATGTCTCCTATGACTCCTTGGTGCAACTCCAGTTACTGTTCTTAGCTCATCTTACTCAAACTGTCAGCAGCATTTGACTGACAAACCACTTTTTACTTCTAGAAACTTTTGTCCTTCAGCTTCTGACTACATCCTTTCTCACAGATGGCTCCTTCTCAGTTCTTCTTGCTGGCTATTTCCTGCTACATCTTTTCTAATGAGTGAATGCCCCAGACTCAGGTCCATAATCACTGGACATATTACAAGTTTCCACACACACACACAAAAAAACACTAAAAGGGCTGGGTATCTAACTCAGTGGTTCTGCCACCTGCCTCATAAGCACAAGGACTTGAGTTTGATCCCCAGTACCAAAAAAAAAAAAAGAAAAACAAGTTTCCAGCACCAAGCACTAGGTGGCCCAGTAAGTACTCTTTGTCTGTGTGGTAAATGGATGAATCCAGGAGTGATAAAACCCATGTCTCTCTTGCTAAGGCATTTGTACTAGCTTGGTATTAATAAGACCCATGATTACAAATGTGTGTCAGACTCTTGTAGTTTAATCTTCCTGGTATTTCCGATTGAGCCTAGATAGTTGCACAAGCAGGTGATGAATAGTACAGGCCTACCATGTGCCAATGCAGGGCTGGTTGCCATGTCAGAAGGAAACAAATAAAAAGCCTTCTAGTCTACTAAGACAAGGAAACAGGAGACCTACTAAATTCAATTATGATTTCCTGAATTTTGTATTTGAGCAAAGAGAAACAAATAGAATATTTCATTTTGATGGATGAAATATTCCCAAAATGTATAGAATTATGAGTGTTTTTGAAGATAGAGTGGATTGAGAAGTGCCTAACAAGTAGAGAAAACAGCAGGGGATGCACATGAGAAAAGGAAAGTACAATAAATACCAGGACAGTGAATTCTCCTCTGTGGCTGGAGGTAAAATACACAGCAAAGTCTAACGAGACAAAGGCTATTTGTTTTTTTGTTTGTTTGTTTTTGTTTGTTTTGTATATCCTTTTATTGGTATATTTTAGGTGTACAATATAATGACATTCATCGCTGCAGATATGCACCTTTACACACTCTCTTGGTTCGTATTTTTCCCCCTTCCTCTGTCCTCCCTTCAGCCCCTCCATCCCTCCGCCCTATTTACAAAGACTTTGTTTCCATTTTTTCCTTTCCCTTCTTTCCTTTCCCCTACCCCTCCCACTTCCCCCTCCCCTTTGCCCCTTTTCTTCCTATTTCACATTATCTATTATACCTTTTAGTCCTTATTTACACTTTCAGTTTCTTACACTAGAGAAACTATTTGGTATTTACACATGTGTGTCCTATTTATTTCACTTAAGAGTATGGCCTCAATGTGCATCCATTTAGCAATAAATGTCTCTAATTTCTCATTTTTGATGGCTGAGTAGTACTCCATTTTATTTAAAAAACCCACATTTTCTTTATTCAGTCTCCAGTTGATGGGCATTTGGGCTGTTTCCAAGCTTTAGCTATTACAAACTCTGCTTCTATGAACATGGGTGCACATACATCACTGTGGTATGATTCTTTTAATTCTTTGGGGAAGATAGCCAGCAGGGGAATAGCTGGGTCAAATGGGACTTCCAGTCCTAGTTCTTGGAGGTATCTCCATACTGATTTCCACAGTGCTTGCACTAGTCTACACTCCCACCAGCAGAGGAGGAATGTTCCTCTTTTCCCACAGCCCCGCCAGCATTTGTTGTTGGTTGATTTCATGATAGCAGCCGTTCTTTCTGGAATGAGGTAGAATCTCAGTGTTGTTTTCATTTGCATCTCTTGAATGACCAGTGATGTTGAACATTTTTTCATGTTTATTTGCCGTGTCTACTTCCTTGTGTGAGAAATGTCGGTTCATTTCAGATGCCCATTTTTGGATTGGGTCTTAAAATTTGGGAGGTCTGATTTTTTTTAAGTTCTTTATAGGTTCGAGATAGTAGACCTTTGTCTGAGGTACCGCTGGTGAAAGTGTTTTCCCACATTGTGGGTTGTCTCTTCACACTGATGGTGGTTTCTCTTGCTGTGCAGAGATCCCACTTGTTGATTGTTTGTGCTAGTTCACGGGCAACTGAAGTTTTGTTCATAGTCTTTTCCTACCCCAAGAGACCAAGGCTATCTGAAAACCAATTCCCAGATCTGCATTTGCCAAACCAAACCACATACCATTTTCTAGTACCCAAGTAGTCAGTGGGGAGGGGGGAGGGCGGGGGAGGGACAATGCCACAGGAAGCCACTCTCATCCAAGAAGGAAAGAGTTGCTTGGGCCCCAGTCCTGTTGCAAGGCTGTATACAGCTAGACACAGGGCAGAACCACTAGAGGAGAGAGTAAGTGCTTCACCTGAACTTTCCAGCACCTAATCTTCTGTAGAGGGTCAGGTTTGTCGCACCTGCTGTAGGCCCTGCAGATTCTCCTAGCAGCCATGCTCCCCCACAAACCTCAAGCTAGGTCCTCTGCACCTGCAGCCACAGCACAGTGGATAGAACCAGCTGAGTAAACATTGGATGCACCCCACACAACCATGGCCTCTCAAGGGCCTCGGCAGCTCAGGATGCAGAGCTGCCCCCTGGCAAGTTCACGCTGATGCCCTTTCACAGAATGCATCACATTGATTCCTTCTGTCAGCCCAACCACTGTGATTTACCTGAGTCAATGTAAAGGATCATAAGGACAGAGAGGTCCATCCCTAGTCTTCAGTCACTGAACACTAAAACAACAAGGATTCCCTCCAGGTTTCATGGGATCGGAATCCTGGAATACAGGAACTATTTTTGAGGAAACAGTTTTATCCACAAGACTCCCAGGTACCATCTTACTTCCCTCTCATTCTTCTTCAAACAACAATTTAGATCAAATAGCATAGTTGGTATAAATTTGCTGTTACATAAATGAATGCTAGAAACATACCTTTGTCTGAGTTTTGCAAATCAACAAAATTTGTCTGCAAGCTCCACTTCCCTCTGAGTGGTGAGGCAATGACCATCCTTTGAAACTCGTTTTAGCAGACTTCCTGTCTAGCAGCTTTGGAGTCTAAAGACACTACAAAGCTCAGTCTGTCAAGGTCATGCCTGAGAAGTCCACCCAGTGGCTATTGCTCCTCCTGATGTGGATGTTCAAAGGCAGGAGGTACCTGTTCTGAGATGGTCCACTCCCACGATAGGGTGATCAGTGTCAGCTTCCCTAGCAGCCTCATGCCTTCCCCAGGGCTCTTGATTTGTCTTTGGCCCCACGTGGTAGAGAGAGACAGGGTATCTCTCAACTCTCCCATTAAATGTGTCACTAATGAGGTCATACTGATAAACACTAAGGGGTCCTCATTATTTTTCTGGTTATCTCTTTATTAGAACAACCCTACTTGTTCTATGGATGTGATACTTCGCTTATCTCTGACTCATTATAGTTTATTTTTCATTCTGTTACCTCTATGTCCTCTGCATTCTTCTCTGCAGGTTTCTTTGCTCTATTTTTCACATTTGTGCAATTCTTCAAGTATCTACTAATCTCACCATTATATATAAAACGTAAAGGCTTCAGAGG